TTATCAAGATAATATTAAACGAAATGATTCATTTATTGTGAATGATCTCATATCTGTTCGGCATGATTCGTACGAAAAACAATTGCATAGAAATAAGTAGATAAATTCCTTTTTCAATAATGATCAAATATTATTGAACAATAATATTCATTTTCAGATTTTTATTTAGACTTTTTCTTCTAAAGCGGAGATCTAAAATTCTATTCAACTATTCTTTAGAAGAGATCTCGATTAGAATTGCATAAGTCCTAGTCGAATCAAAAGCTGAATACTATTGACTAGAGTTATTCATTGAAAAAAAAATCGTAAGTTAATAATTGAATATTAAAATCAGTTTTCGAAGAAACTACAGGAAAAAATATTAACGAATGAAAAATTCATATCAATCTCTTAATAAACTTGCTCGAAAAATCATACATGTTCCTGCTACATTAACACCAGTTGAACGTGTGTTAATCCTCTTTTAATAAGATTGAATCGTTGAACAGCTTTTTATGAAAGTAGTAAGCAACAAAAACTATATTATCACATAGACTACATTCTCAGTTTTCTGAATATATGATACATTCTGTTCGTTGAATTTGTTTTTATATATAAATATTTCTAATAATTTAATAGTATCTTACCTTGATGACCATCATAACCTTTAATAGGTGTTTGTTTTTTAATATCAGTAGCATAAACTTTACAATCACCAGCACCACCACTTAATAAAATAGAATCATCTTTTAAATAATCATGCATAAAAATAAGATCTCGAATTGTGCCATTATGATGTGTTAATTCAATTTCAGTATCTATAATAAGAAACACAAAAAAAATGAAATCTTAATTTTTTTTTTGTTTTTATTTCATACTATTTGAATGATCATCTGGTCTATCCATATCAAGTCTTAAAATTTTAATAAGTTTATCATTTGATCCAGTTGCAATAAGTTTTCCACTTGGTGACCATCCCATACAATAAATACTTCCTAGATGATGTTTACCTTTTTGAAATAAAACTTTAGCTATATTTGGTATTGAATCCTGACGTATATTTTTTATATCAGGATATGCACAAACACGAAGCATTTTAGAATTTGAACCAACAGCAAAATATTTACCACTTGGATGTATATCAACAGAACGAATTGCTTGAACATCTTCAATAGATACTAATGGTATAAATGCTGGTGAACGTGTTATATCCTAAATAAAATTTAAAAAGAAAAAAAAAATGAATTAATTTTTTAAATGAAATAAAGATTACTTCAAGTGAATCAAATTTAGTTGTATTATTCATAGAACGTATATTTGAATTTGTTACTAAAGAATAAATATTAATTTATTTGTTATTATTATTATTATTATTCTTACTAAAATGTTTTTGTAATTCATTATTTTCAAATTCATATTCATCAAAATGTTTTAAAATTTCTGTTCGACCTTTTTGATAATCCTTAATATATAATAAATAATAAAATGTAATATAGGTTATTGTTTTGTGTTTTGTTTTACTTTAAGAAAACGATCTGCTGATGAATCAATATTTGATGATGGATTACTATTTTCATTTATGATTGTACCATTTATTTGTTTATTTGATAATGTTGTTGTTGGATTACGTCGTAAAGGTGATTGTGAACGTTGAGAATTTTGTGGTGATATTTTATTTCTTATTGGTGATAATGTACGTGGTGGTGTTACTGGCGGTGGTGTTAATGGTGGTGGTGGTGGTGTTAATGGTGGTGGTGGTGGTGTTAATGGTGGTGGTGTTTCTTCATAAAGAACTTCTTCAACTGTTGGTAATATTGTTGTTGTTGGTATTGTATTATCTTTTAAATTACATACAGCTAATGAACGACTCATATCATTAACTAAATTACGATTATGATCTCCTAATATCTGTGAACGTATAAGACCATATGATAAACCATCATATTGTGGTGCTAATGAACGTGACATTAATTCTGTTGAACGTGGTTTACTTGTTGGTGTAGCATTAAATGGAAACATTGTTTGAGGTTTAAATGGTGTAGTTAAAACATGTTCAGCCCATGTTGCTTCAAGTATAGGTTTTTGTAATTTATCAATATTTACTTTTAATGATTTTTGTTCAAATGGACATGAAAATATATCTGTTGGTAATGCATGTAACCATGATAGAAGTGATACATCTGTATCTGATAAACGTGTATTTAATAATAAACTATTTGGATTTGTTAAATCAATTGTTTCATCTGTACTTGTTGCACGTGCTTGACAATGTTCAACACATGATTCATATAGAAGACCTTTTATAAGTAATTGAATTAGACGATCACTTTGAGCTGTTGGAATTGTTTGTTTATCTACCTAGAAATGAAAGATTAACGACAGTCTATATATAACATAACATTTGGATTATTTAAGTAAATAGATACAATATCTCTATTGAAAATTCTTGATCTCTCTCTCTCTCTCTTTAATAATTAATATGAACTTTTCAAGAATTTCTATATGTTATTTATTGTTTATACAATAAACTTACTCGTAAAAAACGATGAATAAGTGGAAAAATTTCATGAAAACATTGTACACGTCCAGCACTTGGATTCCAATTATTATAATCTGTATGATCTTGTAAACGTTTAAGTGTAAGTAAAAAAGATAATTTCTTATATTCTTGTTCATCTGATACATATGGTCGTAAATCATTAAGAAATCTAAATTAAAAAAAACGTCATATTTTTATTTATTATATTTATTAATATAATTAAATTTACTTCACTATTTGTTCAACTGCTGATTCATTTTCAACTTGTGCTTCAGTTTTTAAACATAATAATTCTAAAAATTGATATTTTAATACAATATACATAAATTGTTTAGTATCAAATGAATCAATTGTTTTTAATGGTTGAATAAAATCAATAACATCATCCCATTGTCCATCCAAAATAAGTTGTCGTAAAAAAAGTATATCTTCGGAATAAGAACCATTAATAATACCTATAAAAAAAAAAAACAAAAAAAAATCTAGCTATCGTTTTAAACTATAATTTATAAAATATACCTGTTTCACGTTCTATATCAAGCATACTAATATAAAGTTCACGTTGTTGAAGAAAATCAAGAATAAGTTTAATAGCATCACGTTCGGATAATGCAATTGTCACTCGTAAATCATTACTACCATTTGTTGAAGACATTGTCTAAAAAAGAAACCGATAACAAAGATATCTGTGTACTCCTATTTAATTTAACGACTAATTCAACAAGATGAAAATGATGAAAAAAAGAAGAGAAAAGGTAGATACACACACACACACACACACACATAAGAGTTGAAGATGGTTTGTTTGTTCAGTTAACGCGAACGAAAAAAGGTTAAGATGACTATTCAGTGACGATGAGTCGTTGTAGTACGTGCGAATGAACAATAAATTAAATGACAAGAATTGATGATGGAGAACGAGTTGAGTTATGAACGAAAATCTCATATTTAATGAGCGATTTCCTCTATTCTTTTTTGTGTTCATGTTAGATGTCGCTATTCTTTAGTCTATAAAGTCCTTCATAAAGTAAAGGACATTCAGGTAAAAATTGCATTTTTATGACCGAACTTTCTGTGCACTTCTATCCAGTTGATTAGATGTTTTCTTAGGATTTCTTTAGAAATTCAATTAAGTACTATTGTAAGAAATATAGGATGTGATTCTACGGTCCGGCTATATTGATTCTTTTACCTTCTTTTGAACACTTAGTGAATAAATAAATGAATATAAATAATCAATGTTTGAATGTTCATAAATGCTTGTTACTTTTCCTCATTCACTTAGACGTTCTTTAGCAATGAATCCTATTCTATTGATAATAATAAACATCTAACTTACAAATGAAGGTTCGCAAGTGTGAGTTTTCATTTTATACTGGATGCATGCTAGTTTAAAGAGCTCAACGAACTGATTACAATGATATAAATCGTTCTTTGTTATTAACTGTTTCGATATCAGAAAAACGACTGAAAGATGTTAGTTTTGTTGTCAATATTGAAAACTTCAATGCTACAAGCGTCTTAATTGACTTGACCTATCAACATAAATAGAAATCGTAACTATGTGTGTCATTCAATTCCGTACAGCTATCATATTAATGGTATTGAAAAGTATAGACGATGTTATGATTTCTATTTATGTTGATTGTATTGATTTGTACAGTCCACTAAGACGCATTCTATGTTAAAATTCTTAATGCTAAGAGCAACACTAGCGTAAAAATTAAAATTTCCGAAATAATAATCTACGGAGAAGAACGCTTTTTTTGTCATCGAAATCAGCTCATCGCGTTCTACAAACCAGCGTAAAAGTCAACTGAAGACGAAGACATACACTTAGAAATATTTCATCGTCATTGGAGTAACCAGAAGAAATGTGATGAGGAACTCAACACATTTTAAGCAGGACGGAGGGCTAGTGAACTTTTGTCTGATATTGTTACTAATCTAACTGCTAAATAATAGTTTTTAGGACAAATTTTCATGGAATATTCATCAATAAAAATGTGAAACAAGATGATATTGTTTCAATATCGTCTGATAAATTACTCTAATAGATTCATTTTTTAATTCAATAAATGTTGCTCATCATATTAAATAAATTAGACGAATGTTAATAGTTCCACTTTGATCTTTACATATTTTAATATACATCAAGAATAGAATTTTTGAAAATCTCTCATATATCATATGATTAAATCTAAATAAGTATTTGATTTGTTTAAAAACCAAAAGTTTATTGTAATAGTCACAATTATTCTTGATTCAATGAAGCTATTTTACTCGGTATATTTCGAGTCATCTTTTTAATCCAGGAAATATATTATATTTTAAAAAAGACTTTTTGTTTTATATGCTCTTAAAATAAAATCACCGGATTCAATAATCATAAATATTGAGAAGACTAAATACGAACATATTATTTTCACATGAGACAAATATACAACAACAGCAAAAAAAATTTTTTTTTTGTCAAGTAAAGTTATGTATTGATTCGATTGATTTCATTCTTTTGCATTGAAATTTTGTATCGGTCATTTTTATGATTATGTGGATTATCACCTAAAATATATCAAAAAAAAAATAGATGTATTGTTTGTATTTTATTTGAAAACAAGAAATCGTTTATATTTACTATTTTCCACATAATTTATACAAAAATTTAAAAGAGTATTTTCATCAAGACCATCATATGGATTATGTTTTAATTTAATTGTTTTTGAAACACTTTTTTTTGACACCATTACATGTAGAGAATTTTGTTTAGGTATTTTATTTGGAAGTGATTTAAAAAATATTTGTTTATCTTTAACTCCATGAATTTGAGAAGAATCTAATTCTGCATTATTTAAACGTACAACAAAACCTTAATAAATATTATTATTAAATATAAATAATAATGAATATCAAAGAATTATTTACCATTTTTTTCACTATCCGTATTTAATGGTACTTTAATTATTTCATTACCACATTTACAAAGATATTTTGGAGTTACTTTTGATGGATCAATAGCTAATGGTTCATTACCTTTACCTGTAAAAGAAATCGAAATTTAGAATTTTTGTTTTTGAAAAAAGTATTATCAGTATAGATGATACCTAAAATCACGATGCAAAAAAAAAAGATTTGAATATTTGTGTTATACTTTAATTAATCGAGCTAATTATTATCTTACGAGGGAAGGTCCCCAACTGACGGACGTCGTTCAACTCCATATTATGGCTACAAGGTAGGTATCTATGAGGCTAAGAAAACCTTAAAAGGATTCGTGCCCATGGCCTATCGGTGAAGAGTTATGACCGTTTTATTGAATTTTGGACATGCGACAAGGGATTTCCAAAAAATCGAATTAAAGAATTTCGACCTGAAAATTTGCCCGTAGGTTAGGTCTCATAGTGATTAGAATTGCTTGAAAGTTTCAGCCAAAACGAATGTTCTTTCTCAAGATATTGAATGGTCAAAAAATAGTCAGTTTTCACAGACAGGTCACAAAAACCGAGTTTACTTGACCATTCAATATCTCGAGAAAAGAACATTCGCTTTGGCTGAAACTTTCAAGCAATTTTAATGACCATTAGACCTAACCTATGGGCAAATTTTCAGGTCGAAATTCTTTAATTCGATTTTTTTGGAAATCCCTTGTCGCATGTCCAAAATTCAGTAAAACGGTCATAACTCTTCATCGATAGGTCATGGGCATGAATCGTTTTAAGGTTTTCTTAGTCTCATAGAGACCTACCTTGTAGCCATAATATGGAGTTGAACGGCATCCGTCAGTTGGGGACCTTCCCTCGTTAGTGGTAAAGAAGACTACAAAGCTTCTTTTTTTCAGTTTTATTAAAAAATACTACCTTCGAAGAATATCCAAATGAGTAAAAACTTTTCAGTGCGTATTTTACTTAGTATAAAGGACATATATAATTCTAACAATTTCGAAAGAATTCATTGATTTTATCGAGATATTAAATTTTCTTCTCATGAACCGTAAATTTTTAATAAAACTTCAAATCAATATATCAAATAGATCAGTTCCTATACAAAAATTTTTTCATGTACTTTCTCAGAGATATGAGTTTTTCAACAACTAGGCTTATTCTTTTTTACTGATATTGTATGAAATATAGAGTTTTTAAAAAATTCATAATCCGAAGAAACTATATCGAAACAATTTTGTACATAAGCTAGTCTAGTTGAGATCTTAATTACTAAGAAAAAAATTAACTCGATCGATCAAAATTGTATAGTAATATATGACGTAATCAACTATTAATGAAGTTAGATTACATATTCTCTATGATATAATCCGAGTAAAATAACTAAATAAGCATACCGACAGTAATCGGTCTACTGGGGGACCGATCTGTCTAAAATCCGTACCGTTTACAGCTTACATATCTGAGACACCTTATATATATATCATAAAAGACTTACTTTCTTCGATCCATTCAGTATCGATGAAATTGGATATATATTCTAATGTATTTTCATCTGTTCGTCGACAAAGACGAATACGAAGTTTACATAATTTAAGTAATTGATTTTCCATAGAACTATCTTCGTCTTCATCTGCAAATATTTCATTATCTTCATCTTTGTTTACTGTTTGATTATCATTTAAATCTTGTATAGAATTTAAATTTTCAATTTCTTCACTTGTTTTATATAAACTGAACATGAGTACTTTTAAACTAAAGAAAAAGAAAAAAGAAAAAGAAAACTTTTTATCTATGATGAAATTTTTTCATACAAATATACTTTACTTTTTTTGACATCGACGATATTCATCTTCAGTTATAGGACAAAGGATTGTATTTGTTGTTTTATCAAAACCATATATATCTTTGATAATCAAATCACTAAGTGTTTGACGTCTATTATTTCTTTGTTGTTTTTTTTCTGATGATTTTATTTGTTTAACTGTTGTTTCTGGTGGTACTAAAACTTTTGATAAATGTGATTGATTATCATATGAAAGTAATTGAACAAAAACAAATAAATTATTTGGATTAGAATCGATAAATTTTGACCACTAGATTATAAATGATATATATATAGATTGATCAAATAACTAATTTTTAAGCTTACTTTTATACCAATATAATGTCGTTGTTTACCACTTCGTCCATGAATAGCTGGACACCATTTATTTTTTAAACAATTAATTGAACGTTTTTTCCAAAATTCTTGTGGTTGTTCATATATTTTAAGTTCGGCTAATTCTATTTCTTGAACATATTTTTGAGCTTGTAATAATAATTCCGATAAAGATATTGTTAGACAAGTATCTTTCGAATTAAAAAATCTTGGTAAATTCGATGATATTATTGCTTGAATTTCTCCATTAAAATGACATTCATTTTGTTCACTTGGTGCTATATATTTAATAATACACTCAATGATTAGAGCGAAGAAAAATTACAAAAAAAAAGCACATACCTCCAATTGTTCTTTCAGGTGTTTCATTTAATTCTTGTCCTATAGGAATTGTATTATTAAAATCATCAACATTGTTTATTTGACGAAAAGATGGCAATATATTAATTGACATTTGAAACAAATTCGATAATATTTTTAATGGTTCTTGAGCAGTTATATGAATATCTTCAGGTGAAGGAATTTCAAATGTTTTTAAATAAGAATCTAGAATGAATATGATACAATTCGTAAGTTTTTTATTTACTTATATTGATTTTAATACAAACCTGCAATTTCAGTAGAAATACCCAAATTTACTAAGACTGGTTCTAATGCGGTAATAGCTAAATTTAATTTTGTCAACATCCAACGACAATAATCGAGTGCAGTCATTTGTTGTTCACCTATATATAATATTTTATCACATATAAGGATGCATAACAAATAAAAAAATATAACACAAGCAAATAAAGATTTGCTAAATAATAATATTTTAATAACAAAAAAGAATCCTTCATAGAAATTTAATAGACTTTTATAGATCAATGATTCCTGCACCAATGTCCGTTACTGTCGGAAAGACGTTGTTTTCAACAACAAAAATTCGAAGAAAAGATAAAAACTTGAAAGTAGAAATTTGATGATCAATATCTACTAGCTTCTCAAGTTCTTCAGTCGGAAACGGCAGACATGAACGGAAAAATTCTTATTTCCATTCGAAACAAAACTTATCTTAGTAGAAATATTGATAAAGAAAATAATTTGAGCTAGCTGTAAAGCCTCTCATCTTCTGCACGAACTGTTAATTTTCGATTAGAAAAATTGATATTAAGAAAATCCATAAAAACATAGCTTTAAGTTTGATATGTCATAAACGATACGATTTTTTTATTTTTCACCTTGTTCTCTTCCAAAATGTTAAATGATTCCCATCATTTTCTGCATAAAATATATGCTTTTTTACTTGCGTATCTCAGAATATTCAAAGAAGCGTCACTGTTACCATTCGGTTTTTTTTTGTGTTCGAAAAAGCATTCAATCAACAGTGCTCGTTTTTTAAATTAAACTTTTTAATTATACTATACGAACAGATACTCATATAAATAGATGGTTATTTTTCGAAGTAATGAACCTATCCTCCCATTTCTCCACATTAAACGTAGGACTTTTGAAAAAAAAAGGGCTCTGTTGTCTACCATGCTCTTTCCAATAAACAAATAAGTGTTAGCGTAATATCCATAGAATTAAAATGTGAAACACATTGTAGCTGCTGTTGTTTATTATAGTAGTGTATCTATATTATAACGAGATGTTATTGGTGTACGGTCTAAGATCATAAATCAATAACGTCTGTGATGATCTGTAACGAAAAGCCAGGACTTTGTTAAGATCTCTGTCATAGTCTATGCAACCAGATCTGAGAAATGTATAGGGAAAATTAGTCACCGAATACAAAAAGAAACCGGAAAAAAACATCTAATATCTTCAGAAAAGCTATCCGATAACAAATGCATCTTCAAGAGGAGATTTCAACAAGTCTAAACGCAAGACCAAACATGTTACCTTGTGCAAATTTTTTTCTTAAATAAAATTACTATTGCATTCGATAACAAAACAATAGAAACTTTCTTCGTTTAAAATTGTGATAGAGATTTCTATTCATTAATACATTACAATTAATCATACATTGGAAAAAACATTTTCTAAATAGTAAAAAAAAAAAAAAGTTTTATTGTATTTCACATATTAATTATATAAAGATTCACTAACTGTATTCGTTGACAAATAATAATTATGGCTATAAATGTATATTTCAAAAAAAAAATGATTAACAAAAAAATATTTAAAATGTTATATTATATTACTAAATAACAAAAATATACATGAATGACAATGCCATCTAGTTATATGTTTAATCTCAAAACTATTGGTTTTTCGTTTTTTTTTTTTTGGGATGAATAAATAAAGTAAAAGAAAAAGAATGACGTATAAATACCTGTTGTCAACAACTGTTGAGTTGCATCTTATATTTTAATTAAAATTATTACATAAAATATCAGATAATGTGAACTTGTTTTTAAAAATAACTTACTATTATTTTTATTTATACTATCGAAAGTATGTTTCATGCTTGTTATTGCATCAACACTTGACGATATTTGTTCATAATCTTTATCGTTATTATCTATATCCATATCAATAGAATTTGAACTTATTGACAAATTATTACTATTGAATAATTCAAATTGTTGTTGATTTATGAATTTTTTGGTATAATCTATATTTTGTTGTATTTTTTGATTATTATTTGTTGTCATAATATTTAACACGTGGTTTACATGTTGATCATGAGTGACACTTCAAAAATAAATATTAATATAGAAATGAAAAGTTGCACATAAAAAAATATACTTTAAAGTAGAAGCCGATACAACTGTGAACTGTTCTAAATCCTTCTTTAGATAAGCTACAACATTTTCGATGTATTGACGTTCTTTTTCTTCTTCTATTGTCGAATACATTATATCTTTAGAAAATTGTTGATTTAAGTCGAAGTATTCTTCTGTTGTCATCTTTTAAATCGAAGTATGCCGTTTTATATTTAAATACCAATGTAAGACACAAAAACTAATAAGAGAAAAATATGTATAACTTGGTTTTTTCCCATCAGCTACTATCAATAAAGAACACGTTTTTGTCAATTGAGCGGGGAAAAGGAGTTGGAAAAAAAAACATATTATTAAAGAGAACAGAAAAAAAAGTATGAGTCATATAATATAACTATCGTACTGCGTACTAAATTTTTTCATTAAATAGAGGTGTATTTTATGAGAAAAAGGTAGTTACTTATGAATCATCATTAAGATAGTTATTTCACAATAGCTCAAAAAAACATCATTACTATTATTTAATCAATTATTTGACTCCTATCAATCATATGTTTATAATTTCTAAAGAATAGTTAATGTTATAAGAACATCATCAAGTTCCTTTTTTCTATTCTTGAGTCAATGATTCTTTTTTTCAACATTTTGAATAAAGGAGATAATATATACACATGTAATAACTATTGAGCAACTACCGTCGTTTTATTAATTACTGTAATGTTTACTAGACCGGTGTTATATGTTGAAAGTCTTACTTCGTAATGTATTGTATCAAACAGATGAATATTTTTGAAATTTATTTAAACTGATACCATAAAAACATTTGCGATTTTTTCATGTAATATTTGATACATTTGAGCTGCCTGTACTACTTACAGAACCGAAATCGGCCTCAATTATTAGATAAATTTGTATCATAGATGATGTCGCAAAATTTTTTTTTGATAAGTAAAAAAATATTTTGAAATAGCTTTCTTTTCGATTTATTCGCACTTCTTCTAATAATTCATTCGAATTTGTATAGAAAATACTCTCTGCAATTGTTTATAGCTGAAATAGGAAAGTTGAAAGCGTTAACATATCTGTTCTTATGAGCAATCAGACTATAGTACTGATAGTCTGAGAAGACATGCGCCATGGATAATACATATGAATAATAACATCTATTAAATCAAACTGACTTCTAATATTATTGATATATTAGTTTTGCTTCTGACTCACAATATGATTTTCTTCATTATTAATGTTAGAATGCTGATTCTATAATATAATTGAAACGTACATTCAATTATTAATTGTTCTCATTGAGACAACATAGATGATGAACTTGATATTCATCTAGTGACTTATTTTCATTAGATTTTATTTTATATTGAAATGATTCAATCCGATTGTAGTATTTTATTCTTTGTTTTTTTGCTTCTTTGCAATTATGTATCATATCTAAAGTATTTATTTATACGACGGTTTGTTAGATAAAATGAATATCTATCTTTATATGATGATATAATAATCTGTTGAGGTGATGTTCTAATCAAACAGAGCTTGCGATTATTCTATTGAAATCAGATGTATTAATATAATACAAATAAAAAGCAAAGTTGAGGGACTAAATCATGCATGTATTACTCTATAACATATTTTTATATATAAATTGCAAGACACTTGCTATTAACCATATAACAATGGGGGAAGAGGGGAAGCATATTCAAGGACTTTCGCTCAATTTTAGATATTTCGACTTGAGTTCTTTTCTCAAAATATAATTCTTGAAATTCTCTACAAAATTTGTCACAAGACAGTCTTCTAAAAGAATAACTAGAAAAACGTGCTTGGTCAACAGTGCTAAATTCTCAAGAAGTCTACTTTCAAGGTACTATTTAAAGCTTTTATCATACTGTGTTTCTCTTTGATCACATTACAAAAAAACAAATGAATATAGCCCTTTGTAACCTAAGAGAAATTCAGTGAATTGTGTGAAATATCTTTTGTTATCAGATTGTAAGTCTTTCTGAATAGAACACTTTTTTGAATGTTTTTCTTCATTCATGTTTTAATGATCTTGTTTATAGAATGAGTACATTTGAAAAACATAAAAAACGTCTTTTTAGAATGTTCTGAAGCATCTTTAGTCAGAAGAAGAGAAACAATAAATTTTATAAGAAAATCACGATGTGCCTTTTACTACAAATCTTTTTTGAAGTATAATATTGTTGAAAGCACAAATCATTTTCCAATTATTCTTCAATAAAACTCTTTTCACAAGACTTTATAGAGAACTTTACGAACTAAGTTTAGAAAAAGTCTTTTTTATTCGAAATATCATAATTAATATAAAAAAAAGTAACCGACAACATACATATGTTTCACATATGAAAAAATAATATATACATACAAAATAAGCGATGCATGTCGTCTGAAGTTATTCGAATTGTAAATCATTTAACAGTGCGAGAAATTATTAAAATACATGAACTAGTTTTATAATTCAACATGAGAAACTGTTGCGATTGTTTTTTTGCATTGTTTTATCTTAGACTTTTTAAGAAATATTGATCGATGTCAAAACTTTTTAATTTAATATATTATTTTATTTCACTTTAAGCAGAACTTTTATTTTTTGAACAATTATACTTTACAATTTTTCTTTAGGATTTTTGCGTATGAATGAGTGCTATGGGTATACACTCATAGTCACACATCCTCATTCTACGCGAAAATACACCCAGAAATAACGCGGTACGTCCAACAGCTGTTCAATCGCTTTTCAGTCAAGACCATATAAATTATGTAAGCCTAAATGAGCTTTGAATACTCGGAAAAGAGTTCATGATTTTAGCTTATTACTATGTAGTTACTGTACTTTAACAATATTTTTTAGATAAACGCCATGGTTCCCTTGAAGAGCAACAGAAAATTGGTTTTCAAATTTAGACTCGAAATTTTACTAAAAGGAAGACCTTAAGTAGAATAATTTATCATAGCAGTTTCATATCTTTTGACTTGCTTCTATCCTTGAATGATAACAGCGAATACAGTGTTTTATATGGGTAATGTGGAAGACACATTATTATCACAGTTGTATCTTCAGATAGGAACAGTGGTAGAATCTGAAAATTTGACAATAAAGTATACCTGTTAAGGTCTGTCTCTTGACAAGATTTCGAGTCGAAACTCGAAAATCAATTTTTCTGGTGTTCCTGAGATGGGCCGCAGTATTTATTAGAACGATGCCGTAACAGTGCAGCAACTTCGTAGCAATCAACTGAGGGCATGAATTATTTTCAAAATATTCATAGTTTATTTAGGTCTATACATTGCACATGACCTCGACTAAAAACCGATTGGATAGTGATTGAACTTCTTTCGTCGGCCCAATCTCATACACCTCAGACGTTAGTGTACGTTTCGTCTTTGTTGATGCGAATCATATGCAGTGTGTAGATATTTCCTGTGTCGACGGTGTCTGGCTGAACGTAAAACAAGCATGGTCGGCAAATGTTGAGTGCGGTAAAGGATATCTTTGATGGTCCATGCGTTGTCATCCATGTAAACGAGTGATCGTATAGATAGATACTGATATGGAATATAAAAATAGCCTTTGAGACCCTAGAGAAACATGATTGAAATTATTTTAGATGTAGTTTTATATCTGCTTACCCATTGTTCGCCCCAGGAATTACGTACTAGAAAATGCTGTGTTCTTTCATCATAGCCACTAATAACAACGGAGTGCCATTCCGAATTTCTTATTGTTGTACATGAGGGATTGGGAATGGATATATAGCCCTCATTTTTCTTCACCTCAGTACCTGCTGAATTGCGCAAAATTATGCTAATCGCAATCGGTAGACCATTAGCCAATGATGTTTTTATTGATGGCAAGTTTATTGGAATTTTAACTGGTCTGGAAGTGAAACGATGTGCTGCTCGATATGCGTTTGGTGTCGGCCGTTTATTCACTAAGCTTATATCATATGGCCAAAGTTTTTCATCACAAGCACCGTATTTACGTACTGCTTTGGCACTGGTTGTTAGAGTGGCTCCAGTATCTGTTAATATTGAATGTTGAAAATCAATTCGTCAAGAATTGTAATAGATAAATAAACGAGATACATCCATATCAATATTATATTTACGTTTGATCAAATATTCTAGAACACCGGCTAAAGCATTGGCACTACTGCAAAAGAAAACAAAACAACTTTTTTTTTAAGAATGAAATAGACCACACATGAAAGTACATACCACGAACCAATGTCGCCTTGTTGCTCAATCTGAGACATCCATGGACGAAGGTCGATCTTATGTGGTAGTGGTCCAGAAGAAAAACGCAAGGATCTTGGAGGAACTGATTGAGCTGCATCAATTGGATAATAACGTGACTCTCTTGTCTGCATTGAAGTCATCTATATATGAAAAGAAACGGCAAATTATGTTGATGTTCGTCGATATTTTTATCATTTATACAGAAACGGCAAAGAAAAAAACATTTTCGACTCAAAATGAAATCGATCAAGCATGAAGAGTCATTCAAATAAAGTGAAAAAAAAAGTTGATATTGTATCGATTGAAAAGGTTGGTATTTTTCTACTCAAATGATTCATATCAAAAATCAATGCTATACTACGGCAAGATGTCATTTTTCTCGTCGACGAGAGTGTGGAATGTGAAGATCGTTGTGTATGTGATGTAGAGTTTGTAAGTCTAAGTGTGTATGTGGGCCACAGTGTAGAAGTTAAAACTGGTTAACTAATCACTTTTGATTTAGAACTAATCAAATTTTCAATCAAAAAATTGATTGAGATACAATCATTGACTGCACTTTTGACTATTAACTAGTTTAATTAACTTTTCGGTTTCCTAAGTAGATTTTTACTAAGCGGAACTCCTAATTAAATGGGTTTAACTGATATGTTTGATCGAATAAATTAATATACATACACTTCACTGTGTTTTATGTCAAACACTACTATCTATAGATTAGTTTTTGAGTGATTTTTCATGTATTCATTTACATGTTACGTTTCTAGTACTTCTCTATCGAGCGTGAGTGCAGGTGTAACACAATATTTTTTTTGTTGTTGTATGATTAATGATAATCTTTAAAAAGTGAAACTAATATCTACTTTACTTCTATATATCTTAAATAGTAATTATTTTCAATTTGTATGATGAGGAAATTTAGATAACACTCCCCATCAGTATAATCACATATAACTAAAAAGAAGAGAAGATGCCAACATTGTTTCTTTATAAGTTAAAGGCAAAGAAAAATACTTGCTACATTATTCATAAAGGACAAGTGGATGGTGGCTTCTTAATGTTTGTTGCGAGTGCAGCTTATTTAGATATGAATATGACTAATCGTTTTCATTTGTCTGAATTCATGTAAGAAAAAGCCTAGAGTAATAATTAGATTTAAAAATGATTATAACGAAAAAATCAAAAGCTGATTGAATCTTTCAATCAATTTCGATTATAATTGATTAAAATTTTTGCAAAACACATATACATAGTAATCAGTTTTTCTTTGTGATAAAAAAAAAAAAAACTTTAATCGATTTACTTTGATTTGCATCAATTATTATCGAAATTAATTAGAAAAATGAAGTTGTGATTTTTTTCAGTTCATTTTGATGATAAACAGTTAGAAAATAATTAAACATCGATGTTAATCTGACTTTTATCCTAATAATATATTTATATTAGAATTTTTGAGTAATCTTGAAAATTCTATTGATTAATGCCTATCATCGAACTATTTCTAAATAAGATTCAAGGTTATAAGTATGATTGAAAGTTATAACGTTGATTGAAAATTATAAGAATATCGACATTGGACTGATTTACTTCATAATGAAACTTTCAAAGATATACTTTTAATTCAAAACCTTGTATGTTTGATAAATAAATGATCAATAAAAATGATTATATTTTTCACGTTGCCTTCCTATGCTGTTAACATAGAAAACACTCAAAAAATAATCTATCAATAGCAAGTCTTTTATACTTTAAATAATTCTATTAAAAATGTTCAAGAGAATTGAAGTAATTACATATCTCGTAGAAAGTTCGACGAGAATTTCTTTCTTTATGTACTGATGATCTAAACCATGTTCTAATTGTCTGAAACTGATTAAATGAAAAGAAAATAAAGGAGTTTTGTAAAAAAAATTGTGACTTTCGAATATGCATTGTTTTATAGTATAGTACTAATGACTATATATGGTTCTTCAATTACTTTTGAAAAAAGCTTTTTTTCTCATTAGATTTTTATGAAGAATTTTTAAGGACTATTTTTTGAGACAAAATCTTAAAGTAAAAACACATAAAACTCAGAGATAGATTCATAAAATATTGAAACGATTATTCTCTGTATGTAATCTTCTATATCCTAAAAATAATTCGATGAAAAAAAAACAAACCTTCTTTGTTTTTTAAATAGACATATAGCAATAAATAGCTTGCAAACAAAGATCACTAGTTGAACATGAATTAAAACTACTTCTAAAATGCGAGAATGGATACCACAGAAAAATACTTATTTATATTTTAATGGAAAAGCAAAGAGAATACAAGGAAATAGAATTTGAACTAAACTACAAAAATCGAAAAATCATTCAGACAACAAATTAATTGAAATTTTAATAGTAATATGAAAAAAACTTGAAAAAGATAAATGAATAAGTTGGTTAGGTGTATTGTCTGAAGTCATTGGAATTGGAAATCGCATAGCAATGCGATAATATATTAAAATACATGAACTAATGTCTATTCGGAAATTAAAGATACTCGATCAAAAATTGAATAACTCAAGAACAGTATGTCTTAGCGATTTGTCCTTTTCAAAATAGAAATAGCACAGTCGGGGACACTTGTCTATGTAAGATAAAATGCGCTTCAATAGTGATGAAGGTTAGAAAAATATGAACCGTTGAAAAAAATAGATTGAAATCATGGATCCATGGAATCATTTTTTTCTTCTTTTAATAAAAAATAATAAAAAAAAAATATGAACCAGTTTTAATAATCGTTCAGAAAAGTCTAATCTATAAATATTATATAATAATGTTATCGATGTGCTCGAATACGATATATTTCGCATTTTAGATTGTTTTTCAATCCATATTGACTCTTGTCATTCGCTTTAGAACAATTGATAACCTGTATGTATATATTATTCAAGAGAAATTTCACATTATTAGAATATTTCAATAAAGGACTGCATAACTTCTTCATGCTGACCTTCAAGCTTTCGACTATCAAATAATTGATAGCTGGATATTGTGTGCTATGGATAGGTGGCTGGCCATCATTATAATCCATATAAAAGAAGAAAAGAATGATTCTATGGATCTGTGAGTTCAAGCTATTTTTTTCAAAGGTTCATATTGTTCTAACCTTCATCACTACTGAATCTTATCGTATCATATATAGATTAGTGTCCCTCGTCGTGCTCTTTCTATGGTGAAAAGGACAAATCGCTAACACACACTGTTCTTGAGTTATTCAATTTTTAACCGAATATCTTTGATTCTCGAATACATATTAATTTTAGAATTCAACATGAGAAAATGTTTCGAGTTTTTCCTATTATTTTATCTCATATCATTTAAGAAATATTGGTCAATATCAAAGTTTTTTAATTTAAGGAGGCCCCTCCCTTAGAAACGAACTTTTGTATTTTTCCATGGAATTTAACCAAAATTTCAGAGAATGTTAGCCTTGGCTAGAGTAGATTATGGTTAAAATATTCCCCTCAAATTTGCGAGTTATTCACGAGTTATAGTCCATTTATTGGTCAAAAATACCCTGTAGGCAGGCAACGTTTTCACAATCAGGACACGAGCTAACATAGCGGGGCTGTTTTTAAGTTGTAGAGTACCCTTGGCGCTAGATTCTCACAGAACCTAATTTTTGAAATTCCCTTTGTTTGTTTTATAAAAAAATCTTCTCCAAAAAATCCTCGAACTCATGACCAAAAAAACGCTGATAAAAATGAGATGTGTGAGTTATTTCTTTCGCCAATAGAGTAATTCAAAAATCGGGCTCTGTAAGGATCTAGTCCTAACTGTCCTCTATGCAATAAAAATAATTATTACTTCTATATCGAGTCGTTATTGAGTAAGGTTTGCCCGCGCAAACAGTATACTCGAAAAAACGGATTTTAAGAAAAACGGAAAATAAGTTTTGAAAAACCTTATTTGTTTTTCAATATGTAGGTTCAGAAAAACTTATGTAATATTCTTCAAGCTCGTCATAACATCAATCAACTATAGTGCATTCGAGAGTAGACACATTGCTCTATCTAACGAGTTATAAATCACAAAATTGATGAATTTGACAAAAACTGACTTTGTCTGAGGGAGGACCCTTCTTAATATGTTTTTTATTCTACTTTCGATACTACTTTTATTTGTGAACAATGATACTTTATAATTTTTTGAGGATTTGTGCGTATGAGAGTGTGCTGTGGGTGTGTGCCGACGTCAGTGTCGGTGTGAATGTCCATATATGTGCTGTGCAGTGTTTTTCTCCATCTACTCAAATAATCATACTCATACGTACCCTCGACATATACATCAAAACACATTGAAGGTACATCCAACAGACACAAACCTAGGCCTACATCCTCACAATATTATCCTTTTATTTCCGCTGATAATTGTCTTTGATACGATGAAGATGAACCTCGAGAGGTATCTTCATCTATGTCTGTCGAGAAGAACGATAGTATACATTTCGGCTTTGAACAGGCGCATGATATTCAGACTTTGCATTCTTCTTATTTCGAAGATGTCTAGGCACATGTATAATGCCCGTGGCCGGCAAATGTTGAGTACGATAAAGAATATCCGAGATGGTCCATCCGCTGTCCCCCATGTTGACAAGTCGCCGATGAGATAAATATTGATATGGAATATAACAATAGCCATCGATACCCTAAAGAATCATTATTCAAATCAGTTTAGTATAGTTTTAGATCGGTTTACCCATTGTTCGCCCCAGGAATTGCGTACTAGGAAATGCTGTGTTCTTTCATCATAGCCACAAATAACGATGGAGTGCATTGACGAGTTGTTTACGGTTGTAGTTGAGAGATTAGGAATGGATATATAGCCTCCATTTTGCTTTGACTCGGAATCTGCTGACTCGCTCAAGATTAGACTAAGTGTAACCGGTAGACCATTAGCCAACGATGTTTTTATTGATGGCAAGTTTATCGGAACTCTAACTGGTCTGGCAGTGTAACGACGCGCTGCCCGATATGCATATGATCCCGGTCGTTTATTCACTAATTTTATGTCATAGGGCCAAATTTTTTCATCACAAACACCATATTTACGTACTGCTCTCACACCGCCTGTTAGAGTAGCTCCAGAATCTCCGAAACTTGAATGCTGATAATCAATTCGTCGAGCATTGTAATAGATAAATAAACGAGATACATCCATATCAATATTATATTTACGTTTGATCAAATATTCTAGAACACCGGCTACAGCATTGGCACTACTACAAAGAAAAACCAACGCTTTTCAGAGAATCAAACAGACCAAACACGGAAAAACATACCACGAACCCAATTCTTCTAGTTGCTCGACAGGAGACATCCATCAAGAAAGATCAATCTTAACTGGTAGTTCTCTAGCAGAAAACCGCAACGGTCGTTGACGACGTAATCGAGCTGCATTGATTGGACCATCACAAGGCCATCTTGTCTGCATTGACCTTACCTATATGTGGAAGTAAAGAACAAATTATGTTTATATTCGTTGGTATTTTGATTATTTATACAGAAGCGGTGAGGAAAAAATGCTGTTGACTCGAAGTGGAATCAATCAAGCATGAAGAACCATCCCAATAAGTTGAAAAAAGTAAGTAATGGCGTATTGGAAGGAAAGATTGGTATTTTTCCCTTCACATGATGCATTTTAAAAATCGATATTTTACTAAAACAAAACATTATTTTTTCTTCTCGTCAAGTATATGAGGTATGAGTATCGTTGTGTGTGGGAGTGTACGTATACCAACGTATGTAGTGTATGATGTATATGTCTAAGTAAGTGTGACTGATTGTATAGATGAATGCAAGTGGTAGCGTAGTCGTTATAACTGGTAGAGTGATAATTGATAAAATTTTCCATGAACAAGATAATCGAGTTATAACCATCAATCGTAGTTGTAAGTACTAATCATTTTAACTCAACTAACTTCTTGATTTTTTCATTGCATTTAACGCAGTTGAAATATTAATCAGGTTGACTTCATTCAAATGTGTAATAGAATTAATTAAAATATATGTATTTCATTGTTTTTTTACTTCAAAAACTTTATGTTCATGTACGCGAATGCAAATGTAACACAATATATTTTTTATTGTATGATCCAAGGAGATGATCTGTAAAAAGTGAACAGTTGACAATTATATTTAAAAATTGAAATTACCCTTCTATTTCTTATTCTCTAAAATGGTCATTACGTTCAATTTATGTTGTCAGGAAATTTATATAACGTTCTCAGTCATTATAATCACATATATTTTATTCAAATATGAAATAACTATATTAAGTTGTTTTCAGTTCATTCTTATATATCTATCATTAATTTGTCACTACATACATTGTTCTGCTGTGCTCATTCTTCCTAGTTATCATATTGACGAACAAAAAGACGACAAATGAAAGAATAAAGAAATCAAAGGAAACGAAAAAAAACCAACAAGGAAGATGCAACTATTGTTTCTTTATAATTCGAAAACAAAGAAAAATGTGGTCTACATTAATAGTTTTTCATTTGTCTCAACCCATGTTAAAGAAAACTAGGGTAATAATCAAATCAAAAAAATGATTATAATCAAACATTGATTTTCCTTTGTAATAAATGAAAAAATCTGTAATCTAATTTTTACCTCAACTATTATTTTTTCACTGGAAGTGCTGAGTAATCTTGAAAATTCTATGGATTAGTGCCTATCATCGAACTATTTCTAAATAAGATTCAAGATTATAACTATCATCGAAAATTACAACTTTGATTGAAAATTATAAGAATGTCAACATTTGATTGATTTTCTTCATAATGAAACTTTCAAAGACATATTTTTAATTCAAAATCCTGTATACTTGATAAATATATGTTCAATAAAAACGATTGAAATTTTCGTGTTTTGTTTCTAGCTGTTAACATAGAAAACACTCAGAAAATAAACAATAAATAGTAAGTCTTTTGTACTTTAAAGAGTTCTATTAAAAATACTCAATAGAATCGAAGTAATTACTGTTTCAACTCAATTATCTCTACTAAAAACACCAAAAAGTTAAGGCATCCCCCTCAAAAAAGTCAGTTTTCGTTAGACTGGTAAAAATTGAGATAAATACATGGGGAGATAGCCCGTCATTTGCTCTTTCATAAATGATAAAAACTTCTCTTCGATATCTCATTTTTCCCAAAAAATTTTCAAGATTTCTGACAACCCCTATTTGAAAAACCAGCGGTTTTTTGAAAAACCAAAAAAACTTTTTCGTTTTTTCACGGTTCATGATATCTCGAACGTGCTAACCAAAATTCTCTGTCGATACTCATTCAATGTATTTGTATTTTTTTTTGTTTGAAAGAGCGCGTCAAGACGCAGTGCAGTACAGAGCGCTTTTTTTTAATTAGGCTTTTTTTAATTACATATACAGACACTTATATAACTCGACATCCATCTTTTAAGGGTTTTTTTAGTCATTGAACTTTCGATCCCTTTTTTTCCCTAAAAAAGTAAGTATTTAAAAAAGGGCTCTGTACTGTACTGCAACCTGATATGCTTTTTTCAAACAAAAAAAAATTTAAATACATCACACGGACCTGGACTGAGAAATTTTGTTTGCCAAATGAACTATTTTTGACCCTTGTTTGGCTGGTATCTCGCCAAAACATCATGGTGTCGAGCTGAAAATTTTACCATAGCCTTCCCACACAAATCCCACCATATCCTGAATATTTCATGTCATTTGAACGTTCCTGGGCTGAGATCGATTTTTGAGGGGGAGGGGGAGGGCTTAATGCAATTAAAATGATCGTTAGTTATAATCCAAATTATAACCATTTGAAATTTTTGTCGAAACTTCGTAATATCTTATTTTGTTAATCATTCTCTTTCAAGAGATTCGGGACAATTAAAGCTATCTTTTATAAATCAACTTATTACTGCAACGAATCTATACATCTTTAAGGAAAACTCTTATTAAGTCCTAATATCTATGTGTTCTGAATGTCTCTATCAAGCAGAACATATTATATATATGGTTTTGTCTAACGAATACGTGAATAAAGCACAATTTAATCTGGAATCTTTCCTCTATTAGTTTTGGCACTACTCATTTCTCTTGTATATATCCTCTTGTATTTAAAACTTTACTTCGAGTGCATGTTTTTTTTCTGTTTGTCTCTACTAATTCTGTGTCCAACTTTACAATTAAAAAGATGCTTTCAAAGAGTGTCAAGTATAGGAACCAATTCTTACAATTGTTTTTCTTTTTCACTAAGAAAATAGCTTTAATAAATGTAGTCTACATCCTATCTGTTTTCGACTCAGTAGTATACTACTGAAAACAATAAATCTGTTTGCGTGTGCTGAACATATGGTAGGATAGAGAAAAAAAAATCTTGTACAACTAAAATCCAACTTTTTGATTTGAGTTGTTTAAGAATTTAGAAGAGATAGAAACAAACGATATTAGAGAAAATATCATGGCCATTTAAGTTATTAAAGCAAACCGAACGATTATATGTTTGAACATGTAGATTTTCTGGAAATATTTTTTTGGTTGGATCACAGTTTAAGGATATGTAAAAGTATATGAATCGATATTTTTTCACTATTGAATGGTCTAGTTTCTTATAATTTAATAGCATTATGGCATAGAAATTTGAAATAGGTACGAAATTTCATTCAGTAGAGTGCAACTACGATTGTAGATGATCTTTTTCGAACTTCCGGATTTTATTATTTAAAAAATACTGAAAAGTCTGTATTTTTTTCTTGATTAGTTCACATTGAACTTGTTTTTTGTACAAAAAAAAATGATATAAAATATCCTTCACTGTTGAATAACAATCACAAAAAAGGAGGCAGTCTCAGAAAGGCGACTTAAGCAAGAAAAAAATTGAAAAACTTGGATTTCAAGAAAACATGGATTATTCCAAGTAGCTGATATAAGTTTTGTTACATTGTCTCAATCAATATACTACGTAATTTTTCAGCAAGAAAGTTCGATATCTTTAAATAGTTCACAATTACTTGCAGTGTCGATAGTGTACATGTGAGTGGTTATGAAGTATGAGTCTTCTCTTCATCCACACGCACACAAATCTAATGATGGAAACAACTCAGACTATTGAAATATTTCTAGATTAATGATTTCATCTGAAACTGAGAACAGTTAAAATGAAATTATACAAACTGAACAAAATGTTTAGAGATTTTCAGATATCGAGACTTAATTGCACTAAGAAATAACTTAAATTAACTCTGTTCGAGAGTCGTTGAATGAAGATAAGAATCAAGTGTTGATAGACATTTCTCGGGGTAAAAGAACCACTATCGATTTCAAGTGAAACATCAAAGATTTGATCGAATTCCTAAAGAATCGCTGCAATTTTAAACATTTCCAAAGAATCTTTAGGATACAATCGTCCAATATTCTAAAGTAGAAATTGCTTATTGTTACAACAAATCAAAACCTTGATAAAACTATTTGAATATAACAAAACAGATTCAACACAAGCCTATGTTTAATTTGCAAAATACACTTCTTTCTGATCTGAACAATTCTCACTTATGAAAAGATATGAACATGATTATTTATCTATAAATTGATTGTTAGTCGACAATTATATAGTAACCCACGGATGATACAAGTTTTGACAGTGTGTTTCGAGGTTTTTTAGATATATAATGAAGTGTGCTCTATGAGTTGGATGAACCATCATGATAAAAAGACAAACAAGAAGCCCAAATGGAAATTGAGGACATAGATTACTCGAAGTTGAAGTAAGCATTTGGTTAAGTGTTGAACAATATCCATATTTGCATAGATTAAATCCAAGTAAGTTTGGACCAAGAACCTTTAATGAACGACATTCATTAGTGCTCGTAAACATTTGATCGTGAACATGTATCTTCTAGTCCAATGAGAGTCAACTTCACTAAGTAAACATCCGAAGTATTTTCCATGTGATTAAAAAACATTGAATAAAATGTAAGTCAATTTTGATATGAGAGCAGATTCGATTGGTTGATATTCGTGTATCAAATTTTCCCACAATTGAACAATGTCAGTCACTTTCGTTTGTATTAATTGAAGCGATTCATTCATTAGATCTGTGAATTCTTTTTCATCCTGGTGACTTGGTTCATGCAGTTTGATAAAATACATTGTTTCCAACTAATTACATCATCTATGTCAACAGATGTTTTTCCATAATGAAACATGTAGAAATCTCGCCAGAAGAGATCTTCATTTAAGGTCAAATACCATCGTCTACATAACAGTTGCATCGATTGAAAATCAACAATATCAGTAATATTGCAGACAATTTTTTGTAAGGCTATTTCAGATATATC